AATAAGGAAATGTTATGTCACTATAAAAACTTTATACAGGGTCGGAAAGTCCCCATGGTTCTTCGGCCGTTACGTGAGAGCGATAAAGAAAGTCACAGAAATCCGTGCGATAGAGAAAGATGGCTATCATGAAGGCGTCTAATAGTCACCGCCCATTTCGCTCTTCCACAAATAAGATCCACTTCTTATTTGGGGACTTTCCGACCCTGTATATGAATATTCATATCATGAATTTCAAAGTTCGAAAAAACTCATTGAAGCATATGTACTTCCTTTATTGAATTGTGGAAATATTGTTTACTTTGCCTTTTTAGATAGTCAACCAAAAAATCGTCTACAAAAAATTCAAAATATTTGTGCCGTTTTGTATACCGCTTAAGGAAATATGATCACGTTTCGAATAAAATAAAGGAAATCGGTTGGCTAAAGTTACGAGGGGGAATCAAATATAAACGGTAATTTTGTAAAATAAATTTATTGATCAATGGTATACACAAACTAAACATTTAACATTTTTCAATGTAGTCACCTCCGTGCTCTACACACTTCTGCCACCGATTTGGAAGCTTGAATATTCCTTCTTCATAAAAAGTTTGAGGGCGAGTTGTCAGCCAATTGCGCACATACTCCTCTACTTCTTCATTGCTTTCAAATCTTTTGCCTCCAAGCGATTCTTTCAAGGGCGCAAACAAAAAAAAATCACAGGGTGACAAGTCAGGGCTATAAGGAGGGTGCTCGAGGGTTTCCCAGTGCATTTCTTCCAATTTACCCCTTGTCAAAACTGCGGTGTGTGGCCTGGCGTTGTCATGAAGGATGATGACGTCTCGAATGGGCATACCCCGTCGTTTGCTTCGATACGCGATTTTTGTCGACTGCAACAACTCAGAATAGTAAACCGCATTCACTGTTCATTGATCGTGAAGAAAATCAATGAGTAAAACTCCCCTTGAGTCAAAGAAAACAGTTNACATTAGTATTGAAACGTTTTAGAATAGTTATTTCTTAATTTTCTTAATTGTTGAGGGACTATTTAAACCTTTTCTTCTTTTTGCTTTGGCACTTTATGAAAGAAAAGCAAAATTAAATTAAACAAATAAATATTATTTTAATGTACAGGGTGATTGAATCTCATAACGTCATTTATTTTAGCCACGTATTCAGAAGACCTAAATAAAGGCAGAAAATCGAATAACAAAAATTTACTCGAACTTTTAAAAGATACGCAAAATTACCCCTTAACTTCCGCTAATTCATCTTATGACTGGGCATACGCCGACGAACCTCAAAGCGTTCGCACAGTGAAGCGAAACAGCTGATTTCCCCATTGGTCTTGAATTTAGCAATTGGTTTCAAAATCAAATGAAAACTCACATTCAATTATAAAACAGTGAAAACGTTAAAATTTATTAAAAATACTAAATTGTAACCTAACATTCGAAAACAATATTATTATCCCTATATATGTAAAAAAAATATCTTATTATTCATTCATGTGTCTAATTAGAAAGACCTGTTTACTACTTGTCGTTCACTACGTATATTAAAAAATAAGATCCACTTCTTATTTGTGGAAGGGCGAAATGGGCGGTGACTATTAGGCGCCTTCATTATAGCCATCTTTCTCTATCACACGGATTTCTATGACTTACTTTATCGCTCTCACGTAACGGCCGATGAACCATGGGGACTTTCCGACCCTGTATATGAATATTCATATCATGAATTTCAAAGTTCGAAAAAACTCATTGAAGCATACGTACTTCCTTTATTGAATTGTGGAAATATTGTTTACTTTGCCTTTTTAGATAGTCAAACAAAAAATTCAAAATTTTTGTTGCCGTTTTGTATACCGCTTAAGGAAATATGATCACGTTTCGAATAAAATAAGGGAAATCGGTTGGCTAAAGTTAGATAATCTTTTTAAATATCATATGTCTATTTTTGTTCACAAAATTATAAATACCTCTGAACCCTCAAACCTCCGACAAAAATTAATTTTTTGACAAAATCTCCACTCTGTTAATGTACCTACGGTGCTGGTTTGCTTTCATTACCGAGATATTAGACATCCATGTTCTGTAGGTCGTTTTCTTATAACGCTGTCACAGTCTACAACAGTTTAGACAATAAATTAAAAAACTTAACACTTCTTCAATTTAAAAAAATGTGTAAACTGCATTTCCTCAAAATGCAGTAACTTGCTTGCCTTTGTTCTGTGATAATTTTGTTTTTGTTTCTGGTTTTATAGTATGACTAACTTATTTTATCTTTTATATCCATTTTTTCTAAATTTTGTTTTTGTCAATTAATTTTAATATTGTAATTTTAATAATTATGCTCCAGTAACAATTTATTTTATTTTTATATGCCTTTTTTGCACGCATTGTATACGTTTAGACATCATCCGAAATAATTTAATATGAATTAGATTTTTTATAAGGTTAAGTAGAGTAGCCATTGGCTAGACTTCGCCTTATGTAGGTGAAATTGTATTTTGCTTTGTACAATTTTCAAAAATAAAGACATTATTATTATTATTATTATTATTATTATTAATTTACAGGGGCAGGGGCG